CCACTGAGGTGGACAGTTTATACCACTAAAGATTCAAAACACCAGTACCACCAGTTGTTGCTTCACCCCCACCCTCCCAGGTCTCCCTCCCTTCAGACAGCCTATTCCACAAACACTAGACCAACTCACAATTCTACCTGGAGAACAAATGAAGTAAACGTGATACAAAGATTAATGATTCTAATCAATTTCTAATTTTTTAACCTAACTAGATAAAAAACAAGCACAACACTGCTATTTGGTTTTACAACAGCAATTACGACACCACGTTAGATTATTTTTAAGGTTCTCAAATGTGGGAAATAATCGATTCTTACCTTATTTAGCCTGCCTGTGAGGTTCACAACAATTTTCCCAGCTCTGTGATCATCGATGATTTCAAATTCGCCAATGTAACCTACAGAATATAACTGACTGTTACAATTTTTAAGGTTCAGGGGACAACACCCAAAACAATTCCAAAAAGGGGATTCTTTCCTCCTTGCCCCTTCATAGCTTCCCACTCCCAAAGGCTACCTCGTGCCCAAGACGTGCAACAATCCTCCTTTCCATCTCAAGCTCTTAGAAGAGCCCAGGGGCCCTTTCAATGACATGTTGCAGCTGCAATATTAGAGAAGGACCATTTTAGCTGCCAAACACCTAGCAGGGCAACCGTCACAAACCTCCACAGTCCTGATCTACTCAGAGTTTCTTGAACAGCATGATTTATCCAGACTATCCTGTCCACAGCTCAAGTCAACTGAAGGATACCTTGCTCCCCTATCTTCCCAGTCCTCTCCCCGAACATTTAATTTCTACAGGACCCACACCCTAGTATGTTCACATCAAAACATAAAACCCAGCAACACACTTACCATGCTTCATCATCACAGTTAGAAACCGGACAATGACTTTGGAGCACGGCCTAATAAGAACCTGGCGTTTGCCTCTCTTTTCGGCATTGTTGATGCTCTTGAGAGCATCAGCCAGAACGTTCATGCGCACCATTATGGCTGTTCAGGGAAGACACAATAGGAATTTTAGCGACATTGCCATCAACAGACACCCGACTATTCCACTGCGAATACATCCTTTTCTTTCTGCCTCTGTCATGACGAAATTTCCCTATCTTTAAGCAGGCTGGTTCCCCAGAGGAACATGTCAACTACCAAGAATATCAGCTAAGGTAGTCAAGTTATTCAGAACGGGACCTGATAATGACGAACAATGTTTCCCAAACTACAGGAATCCAGCAGCGTCTGTACCATTAACATTGTCCTTTAAACCAACTAGCCAGATATCGGCCTTGTCCTAATATGCAAAAGATACTGCTTAACTTTCACCTATTACTGTTGAAACTAAAACGTCCGTCCTTGTGCCATCCAAAACTATATCCAACAGCAAACGTACCACAGTGGCAGATAGGAACGTCCTAAACGCACCGACTGGACTCCATCCCAATGAGCACGAACTTCGCTTAATAAAGTTTTGAAAGCTAAAACAGAGACCAAAGCACGTCTCAAATGCAAACAGTAGGGATTCAGCCTACTTCCTCAAGCTCAACAAACTGTCTGAGGGAAAACCCTGGAGCCCGGACGAGGTTAGTTCCCAGCAAACCGCCACCCCAGGCAGGAAGCAGTTTTCCCTAAGGGTCGTTAGTCTCCCAAGCTCCCAGCGCGGTCGCAGTAATGGGAAGCTGCAAGTCCCAGCCAGCGCCACGGTCCCCGAAGCTTCTCGGAGCCAAGGAGCTACCTCAGCCACTAAGGAGAGGTCCTGGGGCAGTCAATCAACTCCGGGCTACGGCCCCTCCGGACGGCCGAAAGCTCCAGGTCCCGCCAGGGCTGCGGCCTGCACCCCAAAGTCCGAGCTCCCCAGAGTGCAGAGCATGGGATGGCCGGGCATGTCTCTCCCCTCCGCCTGCCCAAACCCCCACAAGGCCAGCATCCCCGGCCCAGGAGGCCTCCGGCATCCTCGCAGAGCACCGAAGCCAAACCTCAGGTGGCAGGATGGCACCGATAATCGACGGATGATGTTGGACAGCTCAGAGAAAGGTACTCACCGGCACGGAAAGATGGCGGAAAGAGAACGGGAGGGGCGAGCGCACGGAATTATGGGAAGTGGTCAGACTATCGCGAGACTTTCAAAGGACCGCCAAAAACAAAAAAAGATTGCCTAGTGGAAGGAGGTGTGCAAAGGGGCGGAGCCTCCTCAGGGGTGGATAGTAGAGAGTCGACGGAATCGAACATAACCCGGGTGAGTAGAGGTGCGGCATTAGCCATAGGTTCGATAACCTTCTAGCACCTAATCCGTAGAAATAAAAAGCTGACAGGGGTCTAGATATTTGCTAATTTTTATTGCAATAACTGTTCACCATTTAGAATAAATGTTGATATATGCGTATTTACAGTATTTTTGGAAGGCCCACAGAAATCGGTAATTGCCGCTTGGGAGGGCGTTAGGAACTGGGATGAAATACTTGCTTTTCACCCAAAACTATTTCGTTTTATCTTCTGATACATATGTATAGATTACTTTTTTAAAGCAGTCAAAAATATTTTTTGTAATCAGTGCTTCCTTTCTGACTCTTCTTAAATATTCGAAATTATTTACTAGAGGTCCAGACTTTTCTTTCGAGTTCTGAGATACACAGTTCGCAAGAAAGCCACACTGTTTCGAAATAAACGCTCAGCCTCTTAAAGGTTATTGCGAGATAATGGAGGCAAAGGGCTCGCAAAATGTCTGGCAGAGTAAATACCCAGTAGATACTGCTTGAAGCCCTGGGTGGGAGTGAATTCTGGCTTCGCCCTCTGTGGAGCTGAGTGACCTCAGGCTAGTTGCCTAATATCTGAAACTTCTGCCATAGACGTCATTCCTCGCTGTTTTCACCATTACCCTCCCTTCTTACTCTTCCCCTTTTTTCCCACATGGCCGCCAGAATAATCTTTTTAAAACTTAAGGCAGTCTATGACTCTCCAACAGTGTCTATTATCCTCAGTAAAGTCCAAATTCCTTACAAAAGCTTACAAGATCCTCCCTGACCTGCACACCTACCTCCTTGCATGGGAACAGCAGCCCTCATCCCGCACCTTTCTCCCCTGGCTTGCTTTTCTTAAAATATTTCAAGCATATTCCGCCTCAGGGCCTTTGCATTTGCTTTTCCCTTTAACTTGAACATTCCTCCCCCAGTTTGCCGGGAGGTTGTTCCCTGCCCCTACTTCCCTCAGCTCTATATTCAGTCACACACACTCACACACCTCCTCCCTGTTCCCCCCACCCCCATATTGGAAGTGTATTTATTGTCTGTCTCCATTAAGCAAGCAGGTTTTGTTCACCACTATACCCACAGCTGCTAGATAAGTTTTCTGGTACATGGTAGGCCCTTGATACCTATTGATGAATAAGTAAATGGGCAAATCAGTTTCCCATCTGTAAAATGGGGATGATACTACCAATCACTTGGAGTTGCTGGGAGAATAAATGAAATAATCCAAATAAAAGAGACTCATACAAAACCTGGCAGGGGTGTGTGCTCAATCAACGTGTTATTAGCATATGTCTCAGCCCACCTCACCCACCCCCACCACTTCTCAGATCCTGAGTGAACCTTGAGAACAAAGTCCCAATTTGAACATCTCAGGGATATAAAATTCTCCAGCCATAATTTACATTACAAATGGACATTGGCTTTCTTAATGAAAATTTCCTTGAAGAACTGTTTCCCTGTACACTTACAACACGTTCCGTTTAATAAAAGTTTGGCATTTACCTTCATTGAGGACGTTAGCAACAGTGGGGGGTTATTCTGGGCAGGGGGAGGTAATTAGGTTTACTTATTTATTTTACTTTTAGAAGAGGCACTGGGGATTGAATCAAAGACCTTGTGCATGCTAAGCCTGCTCTCTACCATTTGAACTATACCCTCCCCCCAACAGTGGGGAGTTAAACCAGTAACCCAGGTTACTTCAAGAGCCCTACTGTAAACAGAAAAATAGTACCATCCACTATCTCTTTACACACTTCATTCATTCACTCATCCCTTCATTCAGCAAACATGAGTGCCTATCACGTGCCAGGTGTTTTACCAGATGAGAGGATAAAAATACCAGCTCCTGCCCCTCAAGAGGTACAGATCCCAGTAGAGACACCTCTATAAATAACAGCACAATACCGAGGTGTGTACCATATAGGACAGCAATATGAAGTGCTGTGAGAACGGAGAAGTGGCCTGGAAGTTGCTAAAGCTTTCACAGAGGAATTGTCATTCGATCTGTATCATGAAGGGTACTAACAATTTCCAATTCCTAACTGCCACTAAGCGCTTCCTATAGATGAACTCTGACTCCTCAAACCAACACATGCAATTACATAATGCCCCTGTAAGATCTGTACTTTTACCCTCACCTGACAAATGAGGAAGCAAACTAAATTCAATCTGAAGTTAACTCAATCTTGAGAGTTTAAGTTAAAAAGAAAGAGAAAAAAAAAAGTGGTCACTTGTAACTTGTCTAAGCTATAAATTCCTTGTGGTGGGGTTTTGGGCTTACCTGATGCTGAAACGTTAGGGAGGGTGCTTGGGCCTATAGATATTATAACAACTCCAAGAGCCAGGAGGGCATGGTATCATATAAAGATGGATAGAAATCTCAATGGTTTTCTGGATGTGGGAAAAGGGTAGAGGAGGGGAAATGGAGCAGAGGGCTGTGTATAAATTGCCTCTTGGCATCCTGTGAACTCTGGGATGATAGGACCTCTGCCAGAGGTGGTACCAAGGCAAGAGTTGAAAGGGCACTCATGCTGTGGCCAGAGCTGGCACAGGAGTAGTCAAGCTGACCTGGAAAGTGATCACAGCTGCACATGAAGATGGCATGTCAGAGCATCGGGTGACCAGGGGAGACCTATGGTGACTTTGGTTTGAGATTTCCGTTTTTTAGACACCATCAAACCCCAGGAGGCCCCAGAGAAGGATCCAGACATTTTGTAGGGGTTGGGCTACTTTTTAAAAAATTCTAAGTGCAGACAAAAGTCACCCAGCAGTTACTTACTAAGCACCTCATGGACGGGACTCTGAGCCAGGCCCAGGTCGGGTACTGGGAGGCCCGGGGCAGGTGATCTCCCGAATCCGCGTTATTCCCTGCCTGTTCTTCCAGCCAGGCCCCCTCACACGTCACCTTTGGCCATCACTTATTCTTTGTATCTCCTTTTCCATCTAGTGTGGTGCCTGGATGTTTGCTGAATGAATGAATTTAAACCTTTTACTTACTTTTGTTCTTAAAGAGCACTTTTTGGCCATGTAATGATCACACAGGGTAGTTCATTAATTGGGTACATAAACCCAGTCACGTAAACACTATATTGGCTAAGCTATAAAAAAAGTAGGACACAAGGAGAGATTCCAGCTTTTTTATTTTAACCCCTTTACACAAGACAAAGTAGAAGAAATCATATAGGATTAAAACTGCAAAAGTTGTTAATCGGTAGAACACACATACACAAAAAAATCCGGATAGGAAGACAAGCTTATTTACAATAAGGAAACATGTAAATTAAGGTAGTTTGTAGTTTTCATAGAAACATTAAAAAAGAAAAATCAAACATGTGCTACATGGGTGCCACTGTTTACAGCAATATTGAAGGAGAGAAAACAACACTTACTTAGGGACAGATATACCACAAAGTCCAGGTTTTACAGCATCAGTGCAATAAATCCACAAAACTATATTACAACTAGTTAATCAGAGTTTAAGAACTGTTCCCAAATCCGTCACATTTTTAGTCCTCAGAGGTTCATTCCTACAGATTTCAACTACTCTAAATCTCTAGCTACTGAAAGGGAGAATGATTCTAAGATGCCTTCCAAAGAATGACAAGTCTCTGCAAACCAGAGGCCAACTATCACCACAAGTCTGCTCCCACCAACAGCCCTTGCATTCTTCAGAGAAATAGCTGACGAAAAAGTCAGCTGCTAGCTCCTCTCCACCTCCTATGCTAAATCTATGGGGAGCAAAAGCAGCCAGCATTACCATAAAATGACAATCTTGAGGCTTACCTTTAAAGGCTTATTCTGGTCTTGAACAATTAGTAGGATAAGACTATTCTCTACTGAAATGAATCTTGAGTAAACACAGGAAGACTTTCGTCCTTCATTGGCTGGTCTTGGAGTGAGGGTCATAGACGTTGAGTCTTAACCTATTATGTACTTTAGTTTCAGTTAGCTGAAAATCTGAAATTAGAAGTATGCTAAAAATCCTAAATATCAACTTTTGGAAGCCTGCTACTAAAAAGCCTTCAAGGATACACTAACTTCAAGTTTAAGTGCAAAGGGACAAGTGTTCTAAGCCTGTCAGATTCTCCATCTGGGAAGAAAGATCAATGTTTCTTACAAATTGCTAAATTCTGCACAACACATTCTAGGGCATGGAATTAGTTTCATTTTATTCCATGAGGAAACTTCTCCCATGCTATCGAAACAGAATGAGGAATGAATCTGAAATGGTCTCTTCATCAGAAATGGTAAACTTGGTCTCTATATTCACGAAGCCAGTTTTTTAACCTGTGGCAAAACCAGCTTCCTATAGCCAGAGACCACTATCTTGTATCCAGCTAAAGCAAAGATCAACTGAAACAATTATCCCACGTCACTGTAAACTGTACTAAAGAGTGAAGTTCACCACTGTATTTTTTTAAAAGAAGAGTTCAACTAACCCTGGGTGAGAAAAGCTGGGAGAAGTGGTTACTCACGAGTGAGTTGTTCACATGGGGCCAGCTGATGAGAACGCACCGGTGAAGACACTGGACACAAAGCCTTTCTTGGCAAGTTGGAATTTCTACTAAGGGCAGGATGAGGGAGAGCAAAGCGCTACTTCTGTAACATTTTAGTATCCAGACAACACAACACACACAATTCCCAAGGACAATGTATGCGGCATTAATCACACTGAATAAAGCAGGTGCTTTATTCATTTTTCTTCTCTTTTTGTTTGAGAAGCTTGTTTATCTCCCTTTTGGCCATTCCAATGTACTTCGAAATGATTCCGTGTTGGTTTAGTCCAGGAAGCAACAGTAAGAAAGTCACTTAAAACAAACAAACAAACAAAATTAAGGAGGCAACAACTAACTTCCTAAAGATTATTACATTTTAAAGAAGGTAGTTAGTTTCTTGGACTA